TTTAATACTACAATAATTCAGACTTCTCTGGTACAAAGGGAAAGCAAAAAAATTTTACACACATTTTCCAGATTGCAGGGGCACTTCATCCCTAAACCCTGTGTTGTGGAAGGGGTAATTGTAATTTGCGTTATGAACATTTTCTCTATCACTTTATCAAGTCTAGAGAAAATCAACAGATACAATAAATCACCATCTGTACAAAGAGACCAAATGATTTACTTAAAATCATACGGAAAATCCCTATCAAAGCAGAAATGAAATTTTTCATGAGTACTCAACTTTGCTTGAAAAACCAACAGAACATAAGGAATCCCAGACTGGGCTACATAGGGCGAAATCACCCCAACATTGTGTTTTTGACAAGACACTAAGAAATAGGCAGTTTTCATTCAGGCAACTAGAGGGGCAGCCAGGTGGCACAGTGGATGGAATGGTGGACTTGGAACCAGAAGGACTCATCTTCCTGAGTTCAAAGCTGGCTTTTGATACTTACTAGATGTGTGACCCTGGGCAAGTCACTTAGTCCTGTTTGCCTCAGTTTCCTTATCTGTAAAATGAACTGGAGAAGGAAGTGACAAACCACTGCAGTATCTTTGCCAAGAAAACCCCAAATGGGGTCATGAAGAATTGGGCCTGACTGAAAAATGACCAAACGACAAGAGTTCAACCCCCAAAACATCACTAACTTCTCACAATACCCAGTTTTATATCTACTATCCATGGGTTTATCTAAACATTTTTGGAAATCTAACATTTTGGAAACTATGTTTTCATCTTTATACCACCTCCTGTGAATAACCATTTTCACACAGGGAGTAGGCAGGAGAGGCATCTAAGCTTCAGCAAGAGAAGGAGAAATGAGATAGGTAATTAACTAGACAGTACCTTGCCAGTAAATGAATACCTACTTGAGAACCTCATGCAGCAGACAGCGCAGAGAAGCTTTGGTTTTTTCTTTCCTATTTGGTCTCCTTAGGAAAGTGCACATTGTCAGTCAAAGATAGCTAAGCAAGATAGCTTTTTCATATCTCAAGAAAAGGGAGGAAAGCAACCCTAAAGAATTAAGCCTCTCACAGGAGACCCCAACCACTGAGTCCTCAGTGAAGCAAACCCATAGTCTGGCCTGCGAGTTAGCTGTGAGAACCACAAGATCTGCAAGAAAACACTGGTAATTCTGTTAACAAGCAAGTTAAGGATGTCATTGCCAACTGAAAACCTCGTATGCCCGAAGTGCAAGTTATTTTCTAACGTGGTGACAAAGGTTAAAAGGTCCAGAGGCAACACTGCCCTCCTTATTACTCACACCAGAAACTCCAACTCCCTAATCCAGGTATTTTTGCTGGCTGGTTCTCATCCCTGGAATACCCTCCTTTCTCCTCTCTGCCTTGTGGCTTCCTTTAAATCCTGGCTAAAAATCACACCCTTGGGAAGATGGGAAGCCTTTCCTAATTCCCCTTAATTCTAGTGTCTTCCCTCTGTTAATTATTTCTACTTTATCCAATATAGAGCTTTTGTACATGGTTGTTTGCAGGTACTATCAGGAGAGGCTATCACAATGGTAAGAGAGAAGAATAAAAGAACAATTATAGGTGTGACTCTTTATCAACGGACCTCAAGGACCAACATAAGAATAGAAAAATACTGGTTTTCTGTTAGGGAATGTATCCGGAACATGCCATAGAGTCCCCTGAGACTTCTCCAACATGAAGACCACTACTCAGTCTGGATGATTCATTTAGGAACAAATTATACTGCCAGAAGATACCTAGACTGTATTGCTAAGAATCATAGGGGCACAGGTGGCATTTTTATCACTGTGGCCAATTGAAGGAAAAGGCTTCAAAAGAGAAAGACAGGTTTAGAAATTTCTAGCTGGCTCAATAGGTGATATGCTCCCAATGTATAGCTACCAAGGTATACATTGCCAAATATAATAGAGTTTTCTGAACTCCAGTCCTATATCACCAACTGACTGCTGGATATCTCCATGTGGATGCCCTGTAAGCATTCCCTCTTTGGTTATGAATTCTTCCCCTAGTCATAAGTCGAGAAGGTAATTTCTTTCTCCTCCTCCTCCTCCTCCTTCTTCTTCTTCCTTCATTTCTAAATCATGTATCCATCTGCAGCTTATGTTGATATATGGGATGAAATGTTGGTCTAAACCTAATTTCTGCCATATGGCTTTCCAGTTTTCTGAGGAGCTTTTGTGAAAATGAGTCCTTTTTCAGTAGCCTTTCACATTTCAATAATATTCCGTCTTAGAATCTCAGGCCAAGAGATTCTTTCTATTTTGTCTTTGAAGTCCTTGGATCAATTCTTATAGGTTAGACTGTATTCCTTGCTCCCCTCCTCCTACATAACAAATTGTAAGATGGCATTGTTTCTACCTGCCATAGTGCCTGTTGTTTCCACCAGAATTATGTCCATAATAGTCTGCCCCCTTGCTTCTTTAATTAATCAAATCAAATTTATCAACTATTCTACTATTGAGAGAGACAGACAGAGACAGAGACAGACAAAGAGAGAATGAGAGAGAAACCTGTCCAGATATATGAAATCCCACCTTACAATTATATCCTAATTTGTAACCTACCTCAAAAATTTGTTTTCTATTTCCTCTTGCTGGCTTGGTGGTCTCTTGAATACACTGCTATCATGATATTGTCTGCTTCTCTCTACTTTAGTTCTCACTCATATGGTTTCTATTGTAATTTCCCCCACAGGTTTAGGAATTTCCTCCCTGGTTAATGTCTCTTGTATGTACAATGCTATCCAGACACTCTTTCTGTCTAGGTAAATTCTACCTAGGTATCAATGAAATTTGTGAAAATGCAATGCATGACTTGAATGTAGCAACAGAAGGCTGTATCTTATTCCGAAGGGACAGAATAGATTAAAAGGGCAGTGCAGTTACACCCAATTCAACAAACTTTTATTAAGTGATTACTACGTGAAAGGGAATGTGCTAGGCCATGGGGAGACAAAAACAAAAACTAAGCTCCTATTTCCAAGAACTTGATTCTTTTGGAGGAACCCAAGATTTGCACAAATGTCACAAAGTTGGGAATGGATAATTGAATTGCAATAACTGGACCATGGTTGATGAGAAGATCATGAGATCATGGCCTCTAGTGGAATTAATGTCCCCAAGTTTTGTCCTTGTTAGTTTCACATTCTTTTCAGTGATTTGGAGTTATGCACTGTTGACACGCTTATGAAATTTGAATGTAACATGAAGTTGGGAGAAGTAGCTAACATGTGGGATGACAAAAGCTACATCCAAAAATATCTCCGCCACTGCAATGATGGACTAAATCTAATAAGTTGAAATATAATAGAAAAAATATTGAGTCCTACACCTTCGTTAAAAAAATCAATTTCACAAATATAAAATGAAAAAGTCATGTCTGAACAATAATTTGTATGAAAAAGACCTAGGGGTTTCAGGGTGCTGCAAGCTCACTGTAAAGCAACTCACAATGTGATATGACAGCTGAGGAATTAATGTCGACTTTGGCTGCATTTATATAATAGCTTCCAGATCAAGGGATGTGATAATACCACTGTATTCTGTCTTGGTCAAGTTGTTGTTTCGTCCCGTGCACCATATATTCAAAAGAAGACAGACAAGCTGTAACATGTCCAAAGGAGTACATCTCGGGTGGAGAGGTTACTTGAAACTCTGATAAAGCAGTGTCTGATCTGACACAGCTCTATCTATTCACTTTCTCCTTTTTTGCCTCCCCCTTTCTCACAACTTCCCCTACTCCATCTCCCATATTTTCAGTTTAAAGTCCTCATAACCAGTTTTGGCAATCTACAAGAAAATGCAGTCATCCTAGCCCTCGTTAGATACATTCCATCCTAAATCTCATGACATCATCTAGACAGAACAGTAAATTGCATAGTCAGACATGCAGACTCTGCGTCTTGTGAACATATTATCTTCATTGATAATTTTTCTAGTTTCACATGTGTTGTTAAGATCTGGCTTCAGACACTTGATGCTTGCTAGCTATGTGACCCTGGGCAAGTCACTTAACCCCCACTGCCTCACCGAAAAGGAAAAAGGAAAAAAATATATATTAAGATCACCTGATAATTTTTTGTAGTATTTTTAGTTAGTTCATCTTCCCAGGATTTGTTTGATTCTAATAATCACCCTCTTAGCGATAGACTATTGTAATGAGGGAGTGTTGCATTTTAGTTTCCTGTCCAGCAATCTGAACAGCCTTGTATCTTTTAGAGCTACTTCCCGTTAAGTTATGCACCTATTCTTACTATTATTTCCTAGCTACTTCCCTCAGACTTCGAGCTGGCCATTAGACTGTCTTGAAATTTTTTATTCTGAATAGACCAATCATATAAGTATTATGCTTAAAAGCGAGTGTAGGATATAGAATTGAAGCAAAGTTAACTGGAATCTAAGCCCAGTGGGTTTAAAATACCCAGTGAGCTTTTTAGGTAGAAGCAGACCGGTTGCCATTCTACAGTTGTGATACACCTGAGACTTGGATTTTAGCTAGCTAATTAGTATCAGCTCTTGGGTATTTATGCATAAGCATTTTATTCAAATGGATCGTACTCTAACAGCAAATCTTACATTCAAGTTCTTGTTGCCAGTATCTATTCTGCTGAAATGCAAATGTCCATTTGCATTTGTCTGCTTCAGAATAGATCCTGCAGCCCAAAGGTACTAGGAGGCAAAAAACCCTCAACACCCCCCCCCCCCGAACAACAACTACAACCACCCTTTCCTTGGCCCAGATGAGGTATATGGCAAATAAATAACCCACAGAGAGACGGAGAGAGTCGCAGACAGACACACATGCGGTCGGACATTGATGTGCTTTTATCTATGAAATGATGTTCGTCTATATATTCTCAGGATGCCATGAGAAAAAGCAAGACCCTGAATTCTGGGAGCTGAATGAAGAAACTAGATGTGTTTTCAATTCAATCTGAGTGATCTTTCTAACATAGTTTCATTTTGTTGTAGGAAGTCCTCTGACTTTCTGGAATATAAGATACAATCTTATTTCAAGTCAAAACGTAAGTAATTTTAGATTATCCAATCTTTTAAAAGTTTCCAGGCTTCTCCTCCAGGCAAATTTCTGATGTGCAAACTCCTCTCGAGTCCTTTGCCCCTCCCCTGTTCCCTTCTCTCTCGTCTCCCGGCCGCTTCCTCTCCTCTCCTTTCCCCTCTCCTGTTCCTCCTCTCTTCCTCTGTCAAGTTTAAAGCCATCTCTTGTGATATCAAAGAAAGGAACTGCAGATATGGCAGGCATGTGATGCTGCTATGGTTCAACTGCCACATCTACCTTCTCTTCTAGAATCCCTAAATTTTTCTTCTGTAATTTCTATGTGAAAACCTCTCTTCTACTGTCCTAGGGCTGATTTCTTGTTAGTTTCTTCTCTTCCCCAAACTGGGGAGAACTACAAATCCTAGGATGTGTGTGTGTGTGTGTGTGTGTGTGTGTGTGTGTGTGTGTGTGTGGCCAGCCTACCCCTTGCCAGAGGTTGTAAAAATAGTATCAATTTTGTGCCCACAAGGACAACCTCAATAATGTGAACCAAAGTCTGCTTTGGGCTGGAATAATACACATTAGGAAATGCCATGATTGGATTTTGCAGGTATAACGTGGTTCCCAAAAAAGTTGTGAAGTTCTTCTGGATTCTGGTTTTTATAGGAAAGCTCTATAAGTGATCTGGACCGCTGCCTACCAGCAAATTGCTCTGCATGGTAGACAGCAAAAATATTCCCTCTAATGATTTTTATGAGCTGAGTAGCTATTGTTCCCAGCTGAGTGATCTTCCTTTTTTATTGTTGCTGAGCAAAAGAATTTATAAAAAGCTCACTTTTTTTTATTAAAAATCCCACTCAATGGAAATGCAAGTTCATTAAATACTGTTCATCCTTCTTCTTGCTCTCTGAATTATTAGACAGTGCCTAGGAGCGTTGGACAACATTTTAGGAACGAATGGGAGAAAATGCAGATCTACTTCAGGAGGCAGAATATAAATTACTCATGCTGGATTTTAGCCAGAAGCTTTAAATTAGTCCCTTGACCCGGAGGGAGAAAATGCCCCCTGGGAAAGGCAATGAACATAGGTGTTCAACCTCTAAGTTTGCCTGAATTTAGATAATGAGTCTCCTGATGGAAAATGATGCTGAGTCACCTCTTCAGTGTGGACACCTCCTACTGGCTGAGTTGAAACACCAATGATGCTGGCCAAGTGGCTGAAGCTAAACCTGGTGGCTTGAATAATTCTACTTGGATCCATTCAGCAGTTCTATCCTTTCCCTCAACCCTTACCCAAAAGTCAAGATGTGACTCTGATGTCTAGGAAGGCTTCAAGTAAACCACTACCTTGAATCTACCAAGATCACTGCACAGTTTGGGGGCCAGGTTACAGTTACTGGTCTTGCCTTTGGTGGTTCTGATTTTTTCATGTAAATGTGAACAGAGAATGTCGTTCATTCTTCCTTTTCAAAGAGGATCAATGACGTCATGGGCTAATATCTTGACTTGCTCTTGAACTGGATTTAAGTGAGGCACAAATTAGTTAGCCTTTCTGTCTTCCAGAGTCATCAACATCCAGGGGCAAGACAAATGTCAAGACCATGGGGGATGGCCCAGGATGCGGTGGTTCACTTTGGCATCTTCTGTGTCTGACCAAGCTCAATCTAAGCACTTCACAGCACCACCTTCTTCCACCACCTTCTTGACCCGTTTGAACAAAGTGTTCACATCTGACTTTTCCATGAGGAAAGTCTTCACATGCTTGGTTAGACACCTGTGTAAATCACAGATGAGTTTGAAGCCTGTTGGTTACTCTCAACTTGGTTTAGCCTGTCTACGGAGAAGGTTTTACTGGTACACGTTACAGCTTCTTGAAGCCACAGGTGAAAGTTGAGTGAAAGATGGACACCAAAGGTGGCTGAGCAGCCCTGAAAAGGGTTCAGCAGCCCTCACACCAGAAGTACTAGTCTTCTCTGACTCCACAAAGAGTGTAGAAAGCTTCTCAAAGTATCCCTTATAACTGTGGAGCATAAACAATGTCTTCTCGATGGTCACAAGTTCTGGCCTATGGCCTAGTAAGCTAGGTTCAGAAACATCCAACGCTGGAAGGTGGTTTTAGCTCTTAGAGTAGGGGATAGGAGGGCCAGTAGGATAGAGAACTTTAAAGGGATATTATTCTTTGAAACTTTTCACGAAAGAAAGATTTCATTTTCAAAAGGGACGGCCATGAAAGGCGTTAAACAGCAGGCATTGATTGGCAAAGAGACGAACACTTGGAGGTGAGGGCAAGAAGTCTGAATTTATTTAGAAGGTGAGGGAGTTAGCAGATGGTGAAAGAATTAAAGGCAAAAAATATTTCTACCAAAACAATAAGGAATAATATGTAACATTTGAAAGACATTTTAATGTTCTATTAAATTCTAAAGAAATGTTTTTCTATTGATTTTTTCCCATTTCTGAAATGCGTCATCAGTCCCTGCTGTACTTTCATTCAAAATGCAAAAAAATTATTTTTTAACAAGGCTGTGGTCTGGTGAAAAGGCACTCACATGGATTTTAATCCACATTCACTGAATTGCCGAGTTGGAAGGGGCATCAAAGGCCATCTATTCTAATCCTCATCTGAGCAGGAATCTCCTCTACCTACCACAGACCCTTTAAGTGACCATCTAGCATTTGTTTGAAGGCCTGCAGTGGGAGAAGCAGGGGGTATCTACTCCCTCCTAAGGCTTCCCATTTCACGTTGGGGCGCCCCTTATTGTTAGTGAGCTTTTCTTTAAATCAGCTTACCTCTTTTCAACTCCTGCCCATAGTTTCTAGCTCCTCTGAGGCCAAACAGAACAAATATGAATTGTTCTCCCATAGTGCAATAAGATCAAAGTTTTCTCCTTTGCCCACAACAGAGATTTATTTTCCCTAAAAGGCAACAAAGCTTTCCCAAGGACTTGATTGGCCCCTGCCTCTGTACCTTCCTGGTCACTTAAGGGAATAGAAGTCCCATTCCTGTGCAGTTGGGCTCCCTCTAACATGGTAGATGTCTAAAAAGCATTACCACACCCTGCCCAGCTGACCCATCCTTCTTGCATATCTTTGCTGGGTTAGGGCAAAGTAAACCTTTTCTTGTTAACTGCTCGAGAGCTTATAAGTGTCTCATTTTGATGAAATTGAACCTGAACTAACATGGTGCTGGCATGAAGCTCAACCTTAACATATTTTGTGCTTCCCACATTGGGTGTCACAGAAGTCTTAGTGCAGTTTTAAGCTATTAATGCCTAATATGGCACTGGACTTTTGGAGACTTGGATACTTGAAAACTACTATCATACATCCCTTGAGTCTTTTCTCCTCTAGATTATACATTCCCAATTCCTTTCAACATGGTAAGAACTTGGGACCCTTCACCATCTTGATTGCCTTCCTTTGGACACCCTCTAATAAACAATGGCCTTCCTAAAATGGACACACAACTCAATATGGCTGACTAGGGCAAAGCTTCCCTATCACTTCTCTTGGCCTAGCCAACATTACCTCTCCTAGTGCAAACCTGGGATTGCATTTGCTTTCCTGGCTGCTATCATATTGCTGACTTATAACCCCACCCCCAACCCAGCCTTTTTTTTTTTGTCTCAGAAAGACTCTTAAATAGCCAATCCAATACATCCCCCCCTTTTTTATTTTGGACGTTGATTTTCCCCCAAGAATAATATTTCCCATTTATCCCTATAAATTTTAAACTAATTGGATTGAGCTCAATATTCTGGCCTATTAAGAACTTTTTGAATTCTGCCTCTTTCACTCAGAGTATTAATGATTACTCTTAGCTCTGTGACATATAATAAGCATGCCACCTATGATTTTATCCAAGTCCTGGATACAATTGTAGAACACCATAGAGCTAAGAATAGATCCCTGAGGCTGACCACTAGAGACGTCTACGTTGGCACAAATGTATTAATGCTATTTTTTGTGTCTGGCCATTCACGTAGTTCTGAATCCTCCTACTTTTACCATTACCTACTTTATATCTCTCCATCTTTTACACAAAATTGCATCAATCTAAGTAGATGTAACTGGAATAGTTGTTTATACCTTCTGTCTTTAAAGCAAACCAATGGTCTATGTTTTGTTTTGTTTTTTTTAGTGAGGCAATTGGGGTAAAGTGATTTGCCCAGAGTCACCAGCTAGGAAGTATTATGTGTCTGAGGCTGGATTTGAACTCAGGTCCTCCTGACTCCAGGGCCAGTGCTGTACACACTGCACCACTTAGCTGCCCCTATGAATTTGTTTTTTAAAAAAGAGTTTGATGACTACATTTAAATATAATTGGTTTCCTTTAGGATACTATATATTTTATCTTACACATTAATAACATTATTCTGAGAATGGATCCATCGGTTTCATTAGACTGTCAAAGGGGTCCGCGATACAAATGAAGAACCCTTACCCTCAATGCTGTCTATCTCATAGGCTCATAGATATAGAGGGAACTCGGAGGCTAGCTATTCTGCCCCATTCATTTGACATCGAAGGTAACTGAAACCCAGGAGGTCAAGTGACTTGCCCAGAGTTACACAGGTAGTAAGCATCAGAGGTGAGGAGTGCCCTGAGGTTTTCCAGCTCCAGACTCCAACTGCACCAAGTTGCCTCCCAATCTATAATGGAAGAAAGGAACCAACCTTTGTTAAGCACCGACTCTGTATGAAGGACCATGCACCTTACAAACATCATCTCATTTGATCCTTGTAACAACCCTGGAAAGTGGGTGCTATTGTTATTCTTATTTTACAATTGAGGAAACTGAGGCAGACAGAGATTTAAGTGACTTATCCAAGGTCACATAGGTAGTTTCTGAAGTGAAATTTTAATTCACGTCTTCTTGACTCCAGCCACAGAGCTCTCTGGTTGTCATTTTAATGATATGCTATTAAAATTGTACATCTATGTAAGAGAGTATTATTACAACAGTCAATCAATCAATCAACAAGTATTTTTAAAATACCTCTGATGAGTATTAGATGAGAGTGATAGGACAAACGAAACCATCTGTCACTGAGGAGATTACATTCTGAAGAGGGAGACAATATAAATATAATATACGATAGAAATACAAATTTAACAGATACAACAAACATATACAAAGTTGCTAAATACAAATACAAACATATACAAAATTGTTAAATACTGGGTTGATTGGAAGGCAGGACACAAGCAATTGTGGGGATCAGGAAAAGCTTCCTGCAGATGATGGTATCTGACCTGCATTTTAAAGGAAGAGAGGAGCTCTATGAGGTAAAGATGAGAAGGAGTTCATTCCAAGCACATGAGATGGCTGCTGGAAGGGGATAGAGAATGAAAGTATTTATTAAGCATTTACTGCATACAAAGCCAAACTCTTAGGATACAAATAGAAAATTAAGCCAATTCTGGCTCTCAAGCAACCCACATTCTAATAAAGGGAAACAAAATGTAAATCAAATGGAAAAGCCCTACGATCCTCAGTACGCAATGGTGAAGTAGATGGTAATCCTTTAACTCAGAAAAAAGAAAAATATCACATAAATTTTCTAAATTAGTGTTAACCTTAATTCAGAAAAAAGAAAAATATCACATAGATTTGCTAAATTGGTGTTAGTTTTAACTAGAGAAAAAAGGGGAAAAAATCACATAGATTTGCTAAATTGGTGTTAGCTTTAACTCTGGGGAAAAAAAGAAAAAATATCACATAGATTTGCTAAATTGGTGTTAGCTTTAACTCAGAAAAAAAATATCACATAGATTTGCTGAGTTGGTGTTAGCCTACTTGTTGATTTATGCAATATTGAGTCTGGTCTGGGCAAACCTTACCTTCATTCCTACTAATATCACCTGCTTCCCTTCCTTAACTCCTTTGTTGACATGAACAAAGGCAGTTTCTTAAGGAGTTATCAGGAGGAGTCTTTCAAACAATAACAAACATTTATTTGCCCCTCAAAAGATGAGTCTGGTACTTTTAAAGAGACAGAAAGTGTTTAGTCTGATCCTATCAGTCTGAGAGGTGATACTGGTGTTGTTTGTCTTCAGAGTGGTGTTGAGGCTGGGAGTTCAATGAAGGAGAGGGGAAACTAGAGGCTTTCTAACTCCAGAACAGGGTCTACACAGATGACTTGTAAATTTCTAGAACATTAGACATAATGCTAGCATTCAAACATAAGACTGAAGATGTGTTCCCAAGCCATTTTAAGGGATTTTCAAATTTGTTTGAGACACTTCCCTCCTTTATGAGTGCAGATAATCGAGAGTCAGTTGTTGTTTTTTAAACAACAAAACTTCATTTATTTATACATTAATGTTGAGGACTGGACAAGAGTTTGAGAAAAAAAAAAGGAAGGGAAAACAGTCTATGAAACAGAGTCCTGTGCAGAAAAAAGGAGAACACAGGTTATGAGGAAGGGAAAAAGACAGACGCACACATATACACATACGCACAAGATGAAGGAAGGTAGGCTGGGCAGCCAGGGTCGGGGCTCTTGGCTAGTCACCTGCTTCATGTAGGTTTCCAGCAAGTACTTTTTAAAGGCTGTGGGGTTTGTCCAAAGTTCAGCAGCATGTGTGTTCAATGGGCTGTCAATGTTGGGTTCTCCCAGCAGGCTCTGGATAGATAGCAGGATGGTCCTGACATCATACAGAGCTGACCACTTGTCCTCGAGGATGTCCAAACAAATATTGCCTTGGGTGTCCACATTAGGATGGTAACAAGGTGTGACAATTTTCACAGTGGGAGCATTATATGGGTAGCCACTGGGGAATTCCAAGGAGTGCTTGTACCTTAGGTCTTCATATACTGTCCCGGCTGCCCCATGGATGGTCCCAACCCACTTGAGGAGAATTTGCATTTTGGCTAGCTGCAATTAGAGCACAGTAACTAGAGCTTGGCCCCAGGGTGTGGAAATTTAGAAGATGCTGAAATTAGTTGTATTCCTTCACCAGATAGAAACCACTGAGGTTTCTACTGCGTCTAACTGAAAAAAAATTAGTTAAAAAGGCAAGCTACCAGATGTTCTTCTCTGTCTTTCATCAGCTGTGCCCCAGGTGAGTTCCTCACCAGCCAGGACCTGTGCTGTTCTTTTCGTTGGTGGGGATCTCCAGCTACAAACTTGAGTTTTCCTGAGTTTCTTCTCCTCAGAGGTCCTGGGTCCCACAGTCTAATGTTTCTCTTAGAGGTTTCTCTTACTCCCTTAAACTACTCTCACACCAAATTAATCTGTTTTAGAAAGTTAATTTTGCCTCAGATGCCAAAATTGATAAGTTATACCTCTAACTTTTACCAGAACTAAAATTAACAAGTCATTTTTGTAATCTTAAAATGTGATAGGAGACAGTATGGTGTAGTATGGTGGGTCCCAATGTACCCCTATCAATAATAACAACAACAAAAGTGTTGTGAACTTTCAGGGCAATTTAACATACTATTTATAATGTTCTTTCAGATTTATTCATTAAGTGCTCACATCACTACAATTATCCCCAAATGTCTCCAAATTAAAATTTTTCATTATAGAGTTCTGATTATAAAATACAAAATTTTATTCTATCATTGGAAAATTCTCAACATGAAATTATAAAAGTAATTATGAATATTTTAGGATATTCTAAGAATTAAAAGAAAGTAATATGGCAAGACTTTATCTTAAATTTCTTTATTTTACAAATTTTGTAGAATATAAATAACATTTTAATGAAATAAATTACAACTATTTAACATGATATGCTAATTATATATAAACTTAATTTTAATATGGACTTTTTATTTGAATATAGGTTTGTAATATTTGGTTCAACACCAGAATAACATAGTCTTAAATCCAATTCTACATTGAGTTTATCTGTGTATTTTGTTTTAAAACAAGAATAAAATGAAAATGCTCACTCACACAAATATGTGATTGAAAATGGTAGAATTTTACAAGCTCTTTTGCTGAGAGATGAAAATTGATTTAAAAAAAATTAACCACCTAGCCAATCAATAAAAATTAATAGCTAGTTATGATATAAATTATTAACTTTTCTACTGCCTAGTGACAAGTTATATATTAAATGAGAAATGAACTTAAAGTTCCATTGCATATATGCTTTCATTATTAATAGCTTATTTATAAATAGCCTTTATAAGGAAAAAAATTTCTCAAATGTGACTTTCTTCTCTTCTACTACCACCACACTGGCTATACTCTTACAGAAGTTCTACTGAGTGATCAGTGTTTTCAACCAGTTCTGTCAAAAAGTCTGCCAGATAGAACACAAGCATAAACAGAAGGTAAGTTTAAATCAGAAAGTAGCCTTAATACTGCAACAGGAGACAACATAAGATTTGTTTCTGCAAGATTTTGTGATGGGCCATGGTGGTTTCGAAATTACTTGTTTTCAAACAGTCTGGCATTTGTGTTGCAAAAAATACAAACATCCTTTATATCTTAATTGCATCTTTTCACATCTGATAAGGTACAATTAGAGGATATACACAGAGGAATGAAGGAGTCATTCTGGGACAGTGTATAGATGGTAAGTGAAAGTATGAACATGCATCTCACAATCCAGTGGGAAATGTTTTGTGCTTAAATGTCAAATCTTTGTGGTGGTTTGAAAACAATTTGATGAGAAACTGCAATAATGTGTTGTGCTACGTCACAAGTGGTCAGAGTTTGATGTAATCACTATGTGAACACCAAAAGTTTTGTGCATATGATAGTGATGGTTTTTTAATTGCTATAGAAATAAATCTAAAATGTTTCCAACATACACATGCTTGTTATCCCAGAGGAAAAAGGTATTTATAACACAACTGAGCATTTACTAACTACTTAAGGTGTCATTAAAGAATTTTTAGCATGAATCCCTTAGACCATTATCACAAAACCCCAAAAGGTTTGACAACCACTGAATAGGAACCACTGGTGCAGCAGAGAGAGCACAGGACTGAAAACACAAGACTGGGGGTCAAAGCCCTCATCACCACACCCTGGCACTATTGCAATAGCCTACTGGTTGATCTCCCTGCCACAAGTTCCCCCATTGGAAGCTCCTTGAGAACTGGGCTTGTCTTTTGCCTTTCTACTTTTGCATTTGCTTAGGTACAGTGCCTGGTATATAGTAGGTGCTTAATTGATTAACTATTTAACAACAAATTAGATGTTTATTAATTGGCTGTTATTTCTATAACCATGACATGTAGAAGTCAAGATGACCTTATGGTCCTAGAAGTGATAGTCATTAACTAATAAACAGATTTTTAATTAAATAGATAATTAATTAATAAACAGATTTTTAAAAATTCATGTAAAAGATAGTGCTTGAGTGGCTTGTTGAAGGAAGAAAGGGATTCTTTGAGGTGAAAGTGAAGAGGGAGTCAATTCTAGCCACGTGGGAGTCAATTCTAGCCACGTGGGAGTCAATTCTAGCCATGTGGGAAAGTTAGTACAGGGACACAGAGATGGAATAGCATTTGGGAGAAATAAGGAGAAAGCCAGCTTGACCAAGTCACAGAATTATGGGAGGGAAATAATGCACAATGGGCCTGGAAGGGTGGGTTGATACCAGAGTGTGAAAAACAGAGGAGTTTAATTGCAGAAGCAATAGGGAGCCACTGGAATTGATTGATTAGGGGAGTGATGTGAGCAGATCTACATTTAAGGAAAATCACTTTCACAGCTGTGAGGAGGATACAGTGGAGTGGGAGAGAGACCAATTAAGAGCCTGTTGCAGTAATCTAAGCAAGAGATGATGAAGGCCTGAAGTAAGTTGGTGGCTCCAGAGCAGAAAAAGAGAGAATAGGGCTCAAGAAAAGGGTGTGGAATAGGCATAGTTCGGGGGCATGCAATGACTGTTGGTTCAATGATGAATCAACAAAGGAGACTGAATGAGAAGGAGCAGTCTGACAGGAAGGAGAACAAGGATAGAGAAGAGTCATGAAAACACAAAGGAAAGAAAGTATTCAGGAGGAAAGAAAGGTCAACACGGACACCTGTAAGAGGGTCAAGAAGGATGCCATCTGAGAAAAGACCACTAGCTCCAGGTTCTGTTCAGCTGAGTGAGGAGATCAGACTGCAGAGGGTTAAGGAGTGAGTGAAAGAAAAAGAAGCAGAGGAAATAAGTGTAGACATTTTTCCTAGGAATCACCTATTGTTATTGATGTTTGGCATAAAGATTTTTTTCCCAGTTGATGATTTCCTTTCTAATTATCATTGCATTTTGTTCGTACAAAGGCTTTTCAATTTCCTTTAATCAAAAACTGTCTTTTAATCTTTTGTAATCATCTCTATCCTGTATCCTGTTAATCATTTCCTCTCCAGCCATAGCTATATCAGGTACCCAATCGGGTTCTCTGCTAATTTTTTCTTTTAATGGTATAATCACTAATAACCAGATCATGTATCTAAGTTTACCTCTATATCCATCTGACAGCAAAGAGTTCTCCAGCTTCCTAGTACTTGGATATTCTATTTGAATTGTATTCTTATATTGCATTAGATGTTTTATGTAAATACTCCTGTGTTTTTCATCTTTGCATACAGTGTTTTTTAAGCAAACTCAAAATATGAAAATATGCATTTATAAGAAAGGCATATTGAGAGGGGCAATTATTTGCTTAAAAATGATTCACAGCAGAGTTCCATTACTTTAAATACTTATCTCCCCTAACACACTTAAAAAAGAATCGATTTTTTTAGAAAGTCAACTTAGTTGTAACTTTCCAGGAATATATCTTTCATATACGATAAGGTACCTCTGTAATTAGGGCAGCTAAATGGTACAGTGCATAGAGTACTGGGCCTGGAGTCAGGAAAACTCATCTTCCTGAGCTCAAATCTGGCCTCAGACACTTAATAGCTGTGTGACCCTGCGTAAGTCACTTAACCCTGTTTGCCTCAGTTTCCTCATCTGTAAAAAGAGCTGGAGAAGGAAATGACAAAGCACTCATCAAGAAAATCCCAAACGGGGTCACAAAGAGTCAGACACAGTTGAAACAACTGAACAATAACATCTTGTCCTCATCTTGATGGTGACCTCAGAACTGAGACTGTGATCAGGGATTATACCTTGTCTATCTTGAATCCACCATTTGTGTGACTTTGGATAAGTCACACAGCCTCTCCTAGCCTCAGTTTCCTCATCTGTAAAATGAAAGGGTTGAATGAAATGACTTCTAACTTCCCTTCCAGTTCTAAATGTATGATCCTACAACTTCCCTAAGCGCCTAGTACAGTGCTTTAGTAAACAAATGTTTATGATTCCTAATTTCAGACCTCAGAGCAATATACTAACATATGGATTTGCCCAGATGCTGAACTGTTTAAGAGGGTTAGATTCATCATAGAATGTTGCCTCTTTAAAATGCCACCAGGGGATTAAAAAGAAAGGTAGAAAGGGAAAAGAAACAATGGTTTAAATTTACTCTTCATCTCTTGCTGTAACTGAAGTTCCCAAGTCAGGGTGTGTAAATGCTCTGGTTTGTTTATTTCTTTGCTTTGGGCACCTTTCCTGTGGAGTTTTGGCCCTTGGCGATTTTTGACTATAAAGAACTCTAAACACGGGTGTTGGCCACAGAAATGCTGACACCACCCAATGGTCCCCACTCACAGGAATGCCTGTCTCCCATAGTTAGCTGGGCTAAAGAGTAAGACTGCCACACAATCCTCTACTTTTCCCAATAGGGAAGCTGAGATTGACGTGAAGAATAGTCTCTCTGCTTTCCTCTTCTCCTCCTCCTCTTCCTCTTCTTCTACCACCCCAACAAGGAAAATTGGTATCATCATCTTAATGATATTTTCTAACTCAGACAGGGGGAGAAATTGATGAAGGACCATGCACATTCTGCACTGGCCTGGCACTGCCTTATTTTTTCATCAGGCCCCCACTATTTAATGTGTATTCAGATTAGTATAGGAAGGAGGTTTGACACCATGTTTGCCTAACGCAGCATAAAGGATATATCTACCATAAAAATGGAAGCGTGGATTTTTTTTTGTCATTGTTGTTATCAGGGGATGAATATTTTCCATAGCAGATCTGTATATTACAACACACACACACACACACACACACACCCCACAGAGAGACCCACAGCGGAAGCATTGTATTTTCCTCTGTCGGTGAGATTTGTGTATGGACATCAATTTTCTGTACAGACATAAGCAAGAATAGGTACAGTGAGTGGGATGGTGAATTTTAAGAAATTTAACAAAGGGGGGAAAATCAGATGAAAAATGTGTGAACTCCAGCGATGGGTGAAGTTATTTTTATTTGCTTTTCTGCATATACCCAGAACCACTATTTCATGTGAATGCTCAGCGTGGAAATGCAAACCTAGTTGATTTGGAGACTGGTTTGGGTTCTTCTCCCCACCCTCCTCTTCTTTTTAATAGGCCATATTCTTAAAGAAGAGCTCCCAGGGTTGGGTAGTTGCAGAATGGTAATGATGTTAGTTTATTAAAGCTGCCTCCCAGAGGATGCTGGGTAAAGCCCAGTGCCAGCAAGCAGTCCAGCATCTTCTACTTAACAGTATTCAAGAGTCTCAGGGTATTTCTGCTCATAGCACTGCTGACAGTTGCCCCTGTGAGAGAAAGAAAAATCTGTCCAGCAAAGTTGTCTTTGGTCGAAAATGAACAGATCTGTTTGGAGTCATGAGTACCTAGTTAGCAGAGTTCAACAGTGGGGCAGACCACAGTTGTTTAGGGTTTCTCTCGCTGTTGTCAATGGGAATTACTCTAGTACAAATTGGCTGTAGGGGACAAATTAATCAACCAAGAGGTTTAAAGATTTTTTAGCGTTCAGCTTTACTGACATCCACTCTGACTTTCTGATTTAAATGAGGAAATAAACGACAGTGCTCACTTACCTTTCCCTTAAGTCTAGTGCTGTAAGATTTTTCTTTTTCTCCTCTTTCCTTTTCAGAGAGGGCACAAAAGCCTAGACCAGGAGTGGCCATGCCAGATGGCCTCAGGATTCTAGTGTGCTGTTTAGAAGTTACTGATCTAACATCTACTTCCTCCCCCTGAGAGGTCTCTCTCAACTCTGGACTTCTGCACAAGATATGGACCTGGTTCAGTCCTAGGAGGGCCCATCTTCAAATGAAGAGGGGTAAGGCTCCCTTTCCTCACATAATTTGGCTCATTATATCTCCTTCCTTTGTGCCCTGAGGAAGATTTACTTATAGGATTTCCTGAAAGTGGGGAGTAGAAAGGTACTCAAAATACAATATTAATTTCCTCTCCTCCTCTTCCTCTTCTTCCCTCACCCCACCAAGGAAAAAAAGTCCATGAAATTGGTATCGTCATCTTAATGATATTGCCTAAGTCAGGGGGAAAAATTGGTGAGGGACCACGCACATTCTGCACTGGCCTGGGAGGGCCTTATTTTTTCATCAAGCCCCCCACTATTTAATGTGTATCCAGAGTGGTATAAGAAGGAGATTTGACACCATGTTTCCCTAACACGGCATAAAGGTTATATCTACCATAAAATGGAAGCATGGATGTTTTTTCTGGTTGTTGTTGTTAAAAGCC